GTTTGACTGCTTGATGTCTAGGAGTAAAGAAGAAGATTTTGGAAGATTGCATTATTTTTGGTGGTTTTAGCCCCACCCCTCAGGCCCCAGGGGGGCAGGGACCATGAAATTCACAAATTTTGTTCCCCATTACCCATAAATGCTATATGCCAAATTTGATTGAAATTAGTTAAGCGGTATCAGAGAAGAAGCTAAAAATGTTTAAATGTTAACACACAGTGCACGACGCACGCCGATGGACGAAAACGGATAGCAATAGGTCACTTGAGTAAGTCAGGTGACCTAAAAATCCACATCAGAAATTTATATCTGAACAACAGGCATGTGGGGAATGACAATCATCCAAATAACCCTGTTTTTGGAAATGTTGAAGATTACAGCAAAAATTATATATGCCTTTCCTTGATGATCACCTGCGTGCATTAAGTTTCTTAACGTGCTTAACCTATGGTCACTTTGGCCACACACAGGGCTTAATTCTGGATTCCAGAAACAATTCTTTTTTTTACTTTGATGAGGTCTTTATAATCATTATAGAATCTATGCAGTTTATCTTTGCTTGTCTGCTGGAAGTTACCCAACTGGGGAGCCTGAATCATGAACCAGGAGTCATGCAATTAATGCTTTGATCATGTTGATATATGCATTTCATGCTAACAGGTTGACTGTTATATTTTTTAAACATGTTAAAGGCTGCATCCATTTTGGTGGGTTTTCCCATACCCCTTAGACCCTTGGGAGACAGAGAGTGATTTTAAACAAGCTAGGATTGAATTGATTAAGCATGTTCTAAATGTGCTTGATATTATGTAAGTATATACACATGTATGTAGCAAAATCTCTAGCAATGTACTTAATTTAGCCAATGCTGCCTTCCGCTAGAGGTGCTAAACAGGATTCACAACCAAAAGTAAGGTAACCTTTACAGCATATCGTACAATCATAAGCAAAGATTTTTTTTAGGTAAGCTCAAATAAAGAGAATAACAATTTACTTTCCGCTTCAATCAGAAACAAGACACCCATGTGCCACATCGCTCACTTCCGCACTTTTGCTAGGAAAAAGCAGATATCGGTTCAGTAGTTCCAAGTCAATCAGAAACAAGAAGCCCATGGGCCACATCACTCACTTTAGCACTTTTGCTAGGAAAAAGGAGAAATCGGTTCAGAATTGAAAAGTTTAAATATTAGTGGTGGGGGAGGAGGAGGAGGGGGGGGTATGATTTGAACAAACTTGAATCTACACTACCTGAGGATGCTTCCATTCAAATTAATATGACTAATAATCGCATTTTCCATTCTTAAGAAGAAAATTTTTATTGAAATATACAATTCCTTTTTATAGATACATGTATGATCTGTAACAGTTATGGCCCCTCTATACTCTTGAGAGGTTGTGATTTTTTACAAATTTGAATCTACATTACCTGAGAATGCTTCTATATTATTCGGATTAATCATTGCTTTGCTGTTCTTGAGATTTTTAAAGATTTTTCCTTTGTATTCCTATGCAAAACTTTGAGAACCCATTGTGACCAAAACCTACCCCTGGGGATTATGATTTAAACAAACTTGATTGCACACTACTGGGAATGCTTCCATATCAATATGACAGTAACTGATCATGGCTTTGCTGTTCTTGAGAAGACCAATTTTAAAGATTTTTTTTCTTGTGTATTCCTCTGTAAAACTTTGATCCCCATTTGTGGCCCCATCCTACCCCCAGGGTCATGATTTAAACAAACTTGATTCCACACTACTGAGGATGCTTCCATATAAATATGACTAATCATGGCTTTGCTGTTCTTGAGATGAAGATGTTTTTAAAGATTTTTCCTATGTATTCCTATGTAAAACTTTGATCCTCCATTGTGGTCCCACCCTACCCCCGGGGGTCATAATTTGAACAAATTTAAATCTACACTGCCTAGGGATGACACCATATAAGTTTTATATTTTCTAGCACAGTGGTTCTTAAGAAAATTTTTAAATGATGCCATTAATTTTCATTATTCATAATTATTTACTCTTGGAAGAAGATGTGGCAATTTATTTGAAAAAAAAAAAACAAAAAAAAAAAACTTGAATTCCCTTAAACCAAGAATACTTTGTGGCAAGTTTGGTTAAAATTGGCTAAGTGGTTCTTGAGAAGAACTTCAAGATGAAAATAAGAAAAGTTTACAAAGACAACAACAAGAGGCCCATGAGCCATATCGCTCACCTGAGTAATTATAACTTTGGCCATGCTGTTCTTTACCAGATTTCACCCCTTGTAATACTTATTGTGGCCCCGTCCTATTCCCAGGGGTCATGATTTGAACAATTTAGAATCTACACTACCCCAGGATGCTTCCACATAAGTTTCAGCTTTTCTGGCACAGTGGTTCTTGAGAAGAGATTTTTAAAGATTTTTCCTATATATTTCAATGTAAAACTTGGATTCCCTATTGTGGCCCTGCCCTACCCCTGGGGGTCATGATTTGAACAATTTAGAATCTACACTACCCCAGGATGCTTCCACATAAGTTTCAGCTTCTCTGGCACAGTGGATCTTGAGAAGATTTTTAAAGATTTTTCCTATATATTTCAATGTGAAACTTGGATTCCCTATTGTGGCCCCGCCCTACCCCTGGGGGTCATGATTTGAATAATTTAGAATCTACACTACCCAAGGATGCTTCCATATAAGATTCAGCTTTTCTGGTCCACTGGTTCTTGCGAAGAAGATTTTTAAAGATTTTTTGTATATATTTCAATGTAAAACTTGGATTCGCTCTTGTGGCCCCACCCTATCCCCACGGGTCATGATTTTTACAATTTAGAATCTACACTATCCCAGGATGCTTCCACATAAGTTTCAACTTTTCTGGCCCAGTGGTTCTTGAGAAGAAGATTTTTTAATGACCCAACCCTATTTTTGTCTTTTCTTGATTATCTCCCCTTGTAAAGGAACTTGGCCCTTTTTTTTAACAATTTAAACTTCCCTTTACCCAAGGATACTTTGTACCACGTTTGGTTAAAATTGGCCCAGTGGTTCTTGAGAAGAAGTTGAAAATGTGAAAAGTTTACGGACGGACGGAGAGACAATGGGTGATCAGAAAAGCTCACTTGAGCTTTCAGCTCAGGTGAGCTAACAATGATGACAGACAACACTCAAATTTCGATCAGAAAAGCTCACTTGAGTCTTCGGCTCAGGTGAACTAAAAAAATGGCATTCTCTCTAGACATCACATCTGCTTTTGTGGTATTTTACTAAAGTGAGAAGTACACACTCAGGTACACAAATGTATTCAATCTACAAGCTTTATCTTTTTTGGTCCAGTTGTTCTCGAGAAGATTGTTAACTGACAAAGGTTGCTGGACACACTTCATTCAGAAAACCTCCGTGGAGAATTTGGTGGAGATTAACTAACTATAGTTAGCAGGCAGACACCAGTGAGACTGACTTTGAAAAAACTTCAACAGTAAACCCTCACTTTTACCTCAGTGAGCAAATAATTATAAAGGTTCAGCTGTGAAATATTTTACCCTTCAAAAAGAGTGTTGCTATCTATTTGAACAAATCTGAATCCCGTTCACCTCAGGATGCTTTGTGGCAAGTTTGGTTGAAATAGGCCCAAGTGGTTACGCAGCTAGGTTAAGGACACCCATGAAATAGTCGCCTTAGTATATTCAGAGAAAATGAATACAATTTTAATTTTTTTCTTAACAGCATTAGTTTTGATGAATGTGAACTATGGTGTTTGCACTTGTATATATCGGGTCTCGGCTGAGTTCAGCCAAAGCGACATCGCTTACATCAGCTGTTTGTCACGTGACAGGTTTAAAATTAGAACATACATGTACCACTAAAAAGATCGTAAAAGTTCAACGATATACGGGTATCTTTCCGCTATAAAATTTATTCTGTTTTGTTTGAGGTAAATTTCTTAACATGAAAAGTGCTGGGAGCAACTTCCTCATGCTCGGGAATTGTGTAAAATTTAGCCGTCTTTCTATAAACTCCAGACAAAGATGTAATACGCACTGGAATAATGTTACATTACGGAACATATAAGCAATGTACAACCAGCTCCCAGCACTTTTCAGAATAGTAGGAATAATAGCTACACGTATTCAAAAATTCAGAATTTATAGTGAAGCGGATATCGTTGAACTTTTGATATTTTCGAGGGGCTGGACCCCTCATTCTAGCACGCTACTGTACAAATGTGCTCCCTACGGCTATATAAAAAGTCTACACATTATCAGTTAGTTTTGCAATAAAATGTGGATTAATATATTTTAGAATATGTCTTTATTTTGATCCACATAAGCTTGTTTCGTATTTATTTTTATTTTTTCAAACTATGATAAAAGCTTGATCCACGCCTCAAGTACAGAGAAACTGCGTGTCAAACTAAGAAATGACGTCATATAAGTAAGTACAGCGAGATCAAGCTAGCTTTCATTCTACATACTCACAGTGGTATTTTGGCAAGATAAGTTGCACATCCATTTATCTTTATAATTTTTATGAGAAACAGAAGTATTTTAGTGTGTTTCAAAAAGTGCATATAATATTTATTCATCAAGATTCACATGAATTGTTTTAACGTGACGTCATAATAGCTTTCCCGAACCTCTGCATAGGCTGACGTAGATATGGGAGTCCTTAACCTAGCTGCGTACAGCGTAACTGTTATGGAGAAGAAGTTCAAAATGTCAAAAAGTTTACACATACTCAACACTGGAGAGACATACACACAACTACCACTCTTTGAATAGAAAAAAGCTAATGACCTTCACCTGACCTTGTTCAAAATAAATCGATCAAATTTAATTTTATCACGTATCACTTAGTAATCACTTAGTAATGTCTTATTGAATCTGTGAAAATTTGGTTAAATTTTAAATAAAATGAATTTGAAAAAAAGAGTCCTTCCATGATTAAGCCTTTGTCTAAGGTTACTCACTTAAGTCTTTGTATAAAGTAATAGCTGACAAACCCATTATTATTACCAAGCTTGCATCTTTATCCTCTTCAAGATCACTTGCTGTCCTTTTCCGACTTCTGTCTGCTTCATTTGTCTCAAGTACCTTAAGAGACATTGGTTATCTACAAAATTAAATAACAAGTTTAATGCCTAATCATTAATTAATGTCAACCTTATACACAAAGGCATTATATAGTATTTTTTCACTCCAATTTGTTAAGTCATGTATTGACATATAACATGAAAATATATTTCCTTAGACATTGAAGCACATGAGTTTGTTCAAGTATTGTGCTTTGCATGACAAGCTTCACATTTTGTAAGTGAAAGTGCAGAAAAGGGAGAAGAGAGATCAGGCAAGGGCCAGTGCAGGATTTTCTGACTGATCAATCAACCTGCAAACTTTGACATGAAAATACACAGTCCAATCCATTAAAAAACAGGCCGTTGGCCACATTCAGCTGTTCCCAGCACCTAGGGAAAAATATTCTGGTGTACTGACTGATCAGACATGAAATAACTGCATACTATATGAGTAATAAATAGTGTTGATACTAACACTGACTAAGGAGAATCATGCTTAAATTTGCACTATACAAGATTTTCAGATCAATATCTTTACACTGTAAAAGAATTGTGAATCATCAGAATGGAGTCATCCTTACCTTATCACACGTGTCTGGATAAAAATGAGACGGCTACTGATCGTTTTTATTGTAGTAAATAGTTCCCTGTCTTTCCCGTGTTTCCCACAAGACGGTGAACTTCACGGTGAAGACCATGTCAAGCTGCATGTCAATCGGGATCGGAATACCAATATTTGCTTCCTGTGTGTACTTTCGGTTTGCCGTTTACAATTTTTATTTTTACTCCATATGATATCTGCGTAAAGTGGACGTTAAGATCATGGCCAGTTTAAGAAAATTTTCTGCTCACCTGCTCAGAACACGAATATGTCATCAAATGTTGCTTGACCGATGTGGCAGTTACAAGTTTAGATCGGTTACACCTGTAAAATATCTGACAAATTCTGTACAAGGAAATCAACAGTGTTACACATTAAATATGTCAAAGGTAATTATGATTGATAAAAATATTAAGTTGTTCCACTGTAAAATGTTCTAGTTGTAAGTGTATAAACTCCAGATTTATTTGATTTTAGAGTTATTTTCACAGGCACTTGTACGAAACAAGTGCCTGTGGTTATTTTGCAAAATTATATATAGTGTTTGTATCTTTTAATAATAGTTAGTAAATTTGATTTCATTGATTAGTGGATAACTTGATTTTTTTCTCATGTAAATTAAAGGTACTGAACTTTAATTATGATACATGTATCTTTGAATTGCTACCTCAATCTGTACATTTATGACTGACATTCTAAAAATATTTTATTTTATTTATTCATTTCTTTATTTTTGCCTGCAACACAGTGATAACAACTACATATAATCTCTTCTCTTTGTCAACAGAATTATACAACAAGTAGACCTCTCTTATCTGATGAGGTTAAAAAGGCCCAGGGGGCAAAGAGGATGGGGGAACCAACCATTTTCTCTAAGATTGTCGATAAGTCAATCCCAGCAGATATCATATATGAAGATGAACTGGTTTGTTTAGCTTTTTGCCATACATGTATATTGACAGATGTAACTCGTACCAGAGACTCAACTCAGTCAAGTGAGCTTTTCTGATGAAATTCTGTCAGTCTGTCTGACTGTATAGTTTGTTAAATTTTCTTCTTGACTTTGGGTTACTGCAGAAAAAAAATCAATTAGATCCATGTCCAGCAGTCCAAAATTTATCTTTGCTCAGGCTTTGCTTTAAGAGACTGCAGCAGTCACTAAAACTAAAATCTAAGGTTCATTCGTAGTTATCAACGTTATCAGTAATAGAGATTGTACTACTCCATTTTGAAATTGTATTTTAGGAATAGGTAGTTTAAAAAAAAAAAATCAGTTACATGAAAGTCGAATCTTTGATTGCATGATTGCAGAGATTTGTAACATTAGAAGGAAAAAAAATAGTTCAAGACAGACAGAAACCACAGAATCTGTAACCATGGTAACCATGAATGTCCAAGATACAGTTTATCTGAAGCATGTACTTTGTAGCATATGTAGATTTATTTTTAAATTATTGAATTGATAAAGTTGATCATCATACTATAGTTTGATTTCTTTGATGTTCTGCTTATTTCTGTAATTCTATTTTTAGTGTATGGCTTTCCGGGACGTTTCACCACAAGCCCCAGTGCACTTTTTAGTGATTCCAAAGTCCCCAATACCAGGAATCAGTGATGCAGACGTACAGGAAAAAGAGGTCAGATAACTCGTAGTTTACACTTGTGAAATTTTACAATATGTTCATCATTATGTATTATTTTATTGTTATAAAGTGGTAGGAGGTGTACCTTTTTCACCTTGTATGTTTGTCTGTCTGTATATCTGTTTTCATAAGGTTAGGCTCAATGTGAATATCAGTTTCTGAATTATCTCATTAGTTAAATAAGCCACATGATTGTGCTGATACATGTATGGTGCAAATACTGAAATTTTACTTGTAGTATGATGCAAGCTCCTGGTGCTGCATCTGACCTGAATTTTACAAAGGCTTCAGTTAGTGTTGTACCGATAATCAGAAAACATCGATTGTCGACGAAAAAATGCTACCGATTCCGATGATCGATTATAATTTTTCATAATCGATCATCGGAAACATACTTCTAATACAATACATTCCGGAATTATCCATTTCTGGTTTAAAATTTATTTCTTCTTAATGAAAGAAAATGGCGTCTGCATTTGATACTAGCCAACTAGCACGAAGCAGAGGTGATTAAAAACTGAAAGGTGCACATATATAGGGTCTAAAAAAAAAATTATGTTTGTTTCCTGTAACCCGACCGACCCATTCAGTTTACCCCTGGGTGGATTTTTTTTCTGCCAAATCTGTGTCCTCTTTGGTTTGATCAATCAGCTGATTCATTTTATTCAAAAATATTAATTGTATCTTTCATTTGAGATATAAATTATGCAACTTAGTCAACATTTACCTTAAATATAAAGAGTAATCAATTCCCCCTCAACTTTTTGAAGTTCGTTTTCTGCCGCTAGGCAGCCATGTTGGGTGTCCACTGTAAATATAAACCTGGATAATTCAGTCCCAAGATGTTTGACCCCCTTATTCATAAGAAAAATAAAATCCCAACCTACCGACCCTTGTTTTTTGGGGGAATGTTACAGGAAACAAACATTTTTATTTAGGCCTAAAAAGTGTAAAAAAAAAAAAAAAGAAGCAAAACAACAAAGAATATAATAAATTATATATTTTATATATTCATGTTAATTTTTGTTTGTTTGTATGTTGTTTAATGTCCCTCTCGAGAATTTTTCCCTCATATGGAGACGCCACCACTTTGCTGGTGGAGAGCTGCAAATTTTGTCCTATAGATAGTTTTCATATGACGTATTTTCTCTCCGAGTTATTTCTCTTGGCCGCCATCTTGGTGGTCAACCTGGGAATTTTTCCTCTTTGTCTTACCAAATCTAAGAGCGTGTAGCAGAAATATTTGGGGAAAGATCTTTATAGAATAAAAATGATGAAATAAAGGAGGCTTTAACAAATGTATATTTTTCAGAAAAACAATGCTTCCTACCCCACAATGGCCAGTATAAAAAGTTAAAGTTGGTTGAATAATGAAGGAATATGAGCATGTTGACCTCTAGTATAACGGCCAACAGGAAATAACTCTTGCTAATTTGGGCCTACTGAAAACTATCTATACTCGGCACTTACGGCCATTGAGCAGTGAGGGATCTTTTTCGTGCCAGCACCTACTGCGACAGGGGACCTCGGTTTATACGGTCTCATCCGAAGGACCGGTCTCCACGTCCCACAGTGGGATTTGAACCCGTGACGTAAGGATCAACTCCTTATGCCGCGACTCTAGAGCGAACGCTCTAACCACTGCGCCACGCGGGCGACCTATATCCATTTAAAATAAATTATATGAAATAATTGTAATAGTCTGCGTTTTGTAAACAAAACTATGAAATCCGATTATAATCGGTAAAATCGCATCGGAAGCAGTAACCGATTCCAACCGATGATCGATTATGAAAATTAACCGATGTCCCATCACTAGCTTCAGTGACTGGTTATTAATTAGGTTAAGATATCGATTTAAGGCCTGTTCCTGGCTTATAACCAGTGGTAATACTAATCAAATTTCCACACATGGCAGATAATTCTGTAAACACTCACCTTGCAAAAAACTATAGTTGCTACAACTGACTTTCATTTTTAGCTCTCCTGAGCTAAAGCTCAAGTACATGTAAGCTTTTCTGATCACATTTTGTCTGTCTGTAAACTTTTCACATTTTCGACTTCTTCTCCAGAACCAACCACTGGGCCATTTCAACCAAACTTGCCACAAAGCATCTTTGGGTGAAGAGGATTCAAGTTCGTTTAAATGTAGGGCCATGCCCACTTTCAAGGGGAGATAATTGAGAAATAGTGAAAATTTGGTGGAATCTTTTTAATTAAAAATTTTCTGAAGAACCGTTGGTCCAAAAGGTTGAAACCTATGTGAAACCTACACATAGTGTAAATTCAGGTGTGTTTAAATGATGACTCAGGGGATACGGTGGGGCCACAGTGGGGTATCAAAGTTTTACATAGGAATATATAGGCAAAATCTTTAAAAATCTTCTTCTCTAGAACAGCAAAGCCATGATTAGTCACATTGATACAGAAGCATCCCCAGGTAGTGTAGATTCAAGTTTGTTAAAATCATTACCCCTGGGTGTAGGGTGGGGCCACAATGAAGGGGGGGGGGTCAAATTTTTACATGGAAATATATATGAAAAAATCTTTAAAAATCTTCATTTCAAGAACAGATTAGTCATATTGATATGGAATTCCAAACTATGTGAGGTGTTGTACATGTAAATTCTAAATTGTACAAAGCATGGTTCCTTGGTAGGGTGGGGCCACAAAAGGGGATCAAAGTTTTACATGGGACTTTATAGGAAATGAATTTTGAAAATTTTCTCAAGAACTACAATTGTGCCATGCTTGGAGAGAGGTCACGTGAGGGGCTCTAGTACTGAAGTGCTTTCAACAGCTCCGTCTTTTTGACCATTTTTCTAAGCCTTTGCGGCAAGGATTCTATATTTTTTAGCTCACCTGAGCCGAAGGCTCAAGTGAGCTTTTCTGATCACATTTTGTCTGTAGTCCGTCTGTCCGTCTGTCTGTCCGTCTGTCCGTCTGTAAACTTTTCACATTTTCGACTTCTTCTCAAGAACCACTGGGCCAATTTCAACCAAACTTGCTACAAAGTATCCTTGGGTAAAGGAGATTCAAGTTTGTTCAAATGAAGGGCCACGCCTTCTTCCAAGGGGAGATAATTAAGAATTTGTGAAAAATTAATGGCATCATTAAAAAATCTTCTTCTCAAGAACCACTGTTCTTGAAAACATGAAACTTATGTGGAAGCATCCTCAGGTAGTGTAGATTCAAGTTTGTTCAAATCATGACCCCCGGGGGTAGGGTGGGGCCGCAATGGGCAATCAAAGTTTTACATAGGAAATATACAGGAAAAATCTTTAAAAATCTTCTTCTCAAGAACAGCAAAGCCATGATTGGTCATATTTATATGGAAGCATCCTCAGGTAGTGTAGATTCAAGTTTGTTCAAATCATGACCCCCGGGGGTCGGATGGGGCCACAATGGGCGATCAAAGTTTTACATAGGAATATATAGGAAAAATCTTTAAAAATCTTCTTCTCAAGAACAGCAAAGCCATAATTGGTCATATTTACATGGAAGCATCCTCAGGTAGTGTAGATTCAAGTTTGTTCAAATGATGACCCCCGGGGGTCGGGTGGGGCCACAATGGGCGATCAAAGTTTTACATAGGAATATATAGGAAAAAATCTTTAAAAATCTTCTTCTCAAGAACAACAAAGCCATGATTGGTCATATTTATATGGTAGCATCCTCAGGTAGTGTAGATTCAAGTTTCTTCAACTCATGACCCCCGGGGATCGGGTGGGGCCACAATGGGCGATCAAAGTTTTACATAGGAATATATGGGAAAATCTTCAAAAATCTTCTTCTCAAGAACAGCAAAGCCATGATTGGTCACATTTACATGGAAGCATCCTCAGATAGTGTACATTCAAATTTGTTCAAATCATGACCCCCGGGGGTCGGATGGGTCCACAATGGGCGATCAAAGTTTTACATGGGAATATATGGGAAAATCTTCAAAAATCTTCTTCTCAAGAACAGCAAAGCCATGATTGGTCATATTTACATGGAAGCATCCTCAGGTAGTGTAGATTCAAGTTTGTTCAAATCATGACCCCCGGGGGTCAGGTGGGTCCACAATGGGCGATCAAAGTTTTACATAGGAACACATAGTAAAAATCTTTAAAAAAACTATTTGTTAAGAATAGCAAAGCCATGATTGGTCATATTTATATGGAAGCATTTTTAGATAGTGTACATTCAAGTTTGTTCAAACATGACCCCTGGGGGTCGGGTGGGGCCACAATGGGTGATCAAAGTTTTACATAGGAATACATAGGTTAAATCTTTAAAAATCTTCTACTCAAGAACAGCAAAGCCATGATTGGTCATATTTAAATGGAAGCATCCTCAGATAATGTAGATTCAAATTTGTTCAATTCATGACCCCCCCCCCCCCAACCACTTTTATATTTAAACTTTTCAACCTTTCAAGATTGAAGTGATTTCTGCTTTTTCCTAGCCATAGTGCTCAGGTGAGCGATGTGGCCCCTGGGCCTCTTGTTTGTGATTTGATATTATATGTGTATCTTTTGGACTCTGGATATATGTTTCCCGAACTTTTTCCTGGTTTTTTGGATTTATTTTCTTTGTGTTGCTTTATGCTTTGTGTTTAAACCTATCTGCCCGTACTACCGGTGAGTAGGTATTCACGACCTATTGAACTACCTGGTTTACCTGGTTAATGGAACAGTAAACAGTAAACATGGAAGGGGTACAGACCCTAAAACCTGTATACTTAAGAAACAGGGATATACAAACAAATAAAGATAAAATATTCTCCGACTATGATATAGCAGAAGCAGCACGTACCGTAGTTTCTGATGTGATGTGCATACAGAGGGATAGAGATTTGTGGCGGATATACATCAAATCCACGGATCAGTAGAGCTACACTAATAAATGGGGGATTTACACTCGGAAGCAAAACTGTCCAGGTTTTTGACACAAATCTATATTCCGCAGGGACGGAATCTTCGGATGAAAATGTCGTTTGTGTCTTGGTG